TTCTATGTCTCACTTTCATGAACAGATAGATCATCCAGGCAAGAAAATCAACAAACAAACATGAGAATAAACAAAACTATCAATCAAATGAACTTAACAGACATATACACCCAATAGCCATAGAAAGCACATTCTTCTCAGCAGCCCATGGAAATTTATCCAAAATAACTGTATTTTAGGACACGAATCAAGTCTTATCAAATATAAGAAAACTGGAATACCATCCTGTACTTTACCAAACCACAGTGGAATAAAACTGGAAATCAATGGCAAGAGAAACTATAAGAAATATACAAATGGGGACTAAACAGTGATCAGCAGGTTATTAAAGAAATAAGGAAGGAAATCAGAAAATTCCTAGAATCAAATGAAAATTAAAATAAAACTTGCCAGAATCTTTGGGACATAGCAAAGGCAGTTAAGAGGAAACTTTATATGTATGAGCACTTGCACTAAAATATCAAAGAGATATCAAATAAATAATCTAATGATGCACCTCAAGCTCTTAGTTCTTGTTAGAAAAACAAGAACTAGTCAAGCACAAAAGCTGTAAATGGAAATAATAAAAGATCAGGGCGTAATTTAATGAAATTGACAACAAAGTAATGATACAAAGACTCAAAGAAGCAAAGAATTGGTTCTTTGAAAAGATAAACAAGACTTATAAACCATTAGTCAAACTAACCAAAATAAACAGGGAGAGGACCCAAATTAATAAAAATAGAGATGAAAAGGGGATAGCACAACAAATACCAAGGGAATTCAGAGAATCATCAGGAATATTTAAAAATCTTATATTTCTCAAAATGGAAAATCTTGAAGAAATGGATAAATTTCCGGACACGTATGACCTACCAAAGTTGAACCAAGTGGATATAAACCATTTAAACAGATCTATCATAAGCAATGAGATTGAAGCAGTAAAGAAGTGTTTCCCAACAAAGAAAAGCCCAGAACCAGACAGGTTCACTACTGAGTTCAATCAGACTTTTAAAGTACTAAAACCAATGTTTCTCAAACTAATAAACAAAATAGAAAGAGAAGGAATGCTGCCAAACTCATTCTATAAAGTCAGCATTACCCTGATATCACAACCTGATAATTATAGATAGATCAATTTCTTTGATGAACATAGACAAAAAAAATTCTCAATAAGAAATTTGCAAACCAAATTCAACAACATATTAAAAAGATCATACACCAAGTTGGCTGGTTTCATTTCAGGGATGCAAGGATATTCCAACACATATAAATCAATAAATGCAATACAGCACATAGACAGAATAAGGATAAAAATCGCATGATCATCTCAATAGATTCAGAAAAACAATTTGTCATTCAGTCTGGGTGTCCAGCAATGGATGAATGTATAAAGAAACCACAGTATAAATACACAATGGAATATTATTCATCCATAAAAAAGAATGAGAGTTGGGCTCCAGTGGTTCATGCCTGTAATCCTAGCTACTCAAGAGGCAAAGATCAGGAGGATCACGGTTGGAAGCCAGCCCTGGGGAAATAATTCTGAAGATCCTATCTCAAAAAAAAATCCATCACAAAAAAAGTTTGGTAGAGTGGCTCAAATGGTAACAGCACCTGCCTACCAAGTGTGAGGCCCTGGGTTCAAATCCTGACACCACCCAAAATGAAATTATGTCATTTATAGGAAAATGGATAGAACAGAAAATCAGTAGAGCTAAAAGAAATATTACTGATTCAGATAGACAAAAAATGCATAATTTTTCTCATATGTGAAATCTAGACCTAAAAACAAGCAAAAAGAAATGAATATGCAAGGTGGAAGCATTTTAGGAATGACCAGCAAGAGTGGGGAGGAGGACTACAGAGGGAGATGGGGGTGGTAAATATGATCGAAACACATTGTATTCATTTATGGAGAAGTCCTAATGATCCCATAGTTTTGTAAAATAAAAAGATTACAAGTGTTGAATTTCAATTTGTTCTCCTATTTTTGTTGAGGATGGGAGGGAAAACTTTCAAGCATTTAACTCTTCACTTGTTTTTATTTTATTTTTTTGTTGGAACAACTTTTTATTTTTTAAATTTATATTCACTTATTCACATGTGCATACATTGTTTGGGTCATTGCTCCCCTCTACTCCCCATCCCCTTTCTTTCCCCCCCCAGCCCCTCTCACTTCTAGGCAGACTCTGTTCTGCCCTTACCTCTAATTTTGTTGGAGAGAAACAAAAGCAATAATAAGGAAGACAAAGCATTTTTGCTAGTTGAGATAAGGATAGCTATACAGAGAGATTCCTAGCATTGCTTCCATGTACCAATGTTTAACTCTTCACTTGTAAGAATGCACCTACAGCTTATTATTTATCTCTTGGTTAATTAGAATATTCCTCTTCATTTCCAAACAAGTAGGTCTTTTTTTCTAATTTTTTTTTGGTACTGATTTCTAACTTAATGGCACTGTGGTCAGATAATATGGTCTGTATCATTCTAATTTTTTGCAATGTTTTGAGATTTGATTTATGGAATGCAAGATAATTTGTTTTGAGAATTTCCCATCTGTGGTGGATAATATGTATCTGGCTCAAGATACTGAATTAATCAGTGTGCTTGGAGGAAAGAGATGGCACTGTTCAATATGAAAAATGGAAGAATTTACAGACTGTAAGCAAGATTAGGGGTGATCAAACAGGGATGGTGACACATTCTGGTGCTACCTATCAAGGGCAGGAAGCATGTACCACTTTAAGGGGACAGGGATGGGAGCAGAGATATCTGTGGCTGTAGCAGAAGGTCACAGGACCTAGATAATGAAGGAAGAAGTGAGGAGAATAAACACCTCATTCTATCCTTCATTCCCATTAAATCCCATTAGCAATACTCATTAACTGAACCCAACTAGAACTAAAAGGCCATGAAGCTTATTGAGGCAGTCAATAAATGTCAGGCTCCAGATCAGGAGGAGGAAGTGGGTATTTGGCTCTAGAGGGACAAGGGAAAATATCCAACACACAGGAAAGGTACAGCAGACACTTCTGTGTGAATGGAGTGTATTTTCTATGTAGGTGGTGTTAGGAAGGAAAAAATAACAGGCAAGAGAAGTAGTTGGCATCCTAAGGTGGTAGTGGGAGAATTGAGGCTGCTGCAATAATGTAATGTGTGCTCTGGGAGAAAGATAGGCATTGGTAAAAGAACAGAGATTAAAGTGGACAAGAAAAATGATGGAATTCTAGGAAATATTCCCGTAAGAGGGCATAGATTGCACTAAGTGGCATTTTTTGGGGTCCCAGTAAAGAAGAGCAGACGGGTGATGGTATGGGACTGAGCCAGCAACGTGAAGTTGCTAAGGACAGGGAAGGATGATTGCTGGGTTGATGTGATTTGTTTAAAATAGGAAAAGGACAGACTTTAAGTAGAAGTCTATGCTAGTGGCAGATGGAAGGCATGATTGGACAGGAAAAGTCTATAATTTGTGAAAATTGGAGGAGTAAGTTTAGGCTTAGATAGAGACAAACACATGAGTTTTAGAGGTTTTATTACAACTACTTAACAGAGAATATTGCCAGGGCAATGCCAGCAGAAATCCTGCCAACAGGCAACTGAATGAAGACTTTGCAGATATAGAATTTTGTATTCTATTTTCCTCTTAGTTTCATTTTGCTTTGGTTTTGGCATTAATGGAGTTTGAACTCAGGGCCTCATAATTGCTAGACAGGCATGCAACCACTTGAGCTGCTCCACCAGTCATTGTTTCTTTTCTTTCCATATTAATACCTTTCATCCTATTTTTTCCCTGTTCAATACTTCTTTTCATTCTTGACCCTATGGACATCTTAGGTTTCAGATATTTTGTCCTATGATTTTGGGACATACAGCAGCTCTCTTGGCCTGTGCCCCATAGATACAAGTAGCATACATTCTCCTACAGTTGCGACCACCAAAAATGTCTTCAGACATTGCCAGATAAGTCTCTTATGGCCATGCTGTTCCTAGATGAGAGGCACTGCTCTGATCTATCAGTAAAGGAATAGAGGGAAAAGACATTTAAGTTGGAGATGTGAATAGAGAGTCTCAGGGATAAACAGATGATTTAAAAAGAGACAAATTTAAATTATACAACATACATCCAGTTTAGTGATAAAATTTTCAAGTGTAGACAGGAATGGTGGTGCATGCCTGAAACCCCAGTACTTTGGAGGTTTTCACAAGAGAATCATGAGTTTGAAACTCTGTCTCAAACAGCAACAACAAAAGATTTAAAGAATTTGCATATAAAGATGCAAATAAGTTAAGGTGCTCTTTTGTCATTTCTTGTATAATGCAGATGTCAAAGATTCCCTGATCCTAAGGCATTTTGTTTTATAACTAAAACCCTAATGCTACAACCTGAGGAAACCGGTGCATTCAGATTTTCTTCTCTTGCTTATGTCCTCTTTCTTCACCATTAATAACACACTTACTTGGCTCTCTTGCTGGATATGAAACCTCCTCTTGCTGTCTTTGGCATGTAACACAAGCTCATCAATTAATTCTTACTTTTCCAAGAAACTTAATTGAAGAACTTTGGGGACACCATGCAGGATAGAGCACACCTCACAGCATATTTCTCCAACTTACTGGTTCCACACATCCTCTTGTGGTTTTCACTACTCTTTTCCCAAAACAAAGCTCCAACTAATGCTCTCAAAATCATGGTCTTCTTTTCTTCTTCAATCACTTTCTCTTGAAAAGCATGCCTGCTTTTTTCAAGATAGGAAATAAATTCCAGTGCATTATACTGATCCCTCCAAATGTGAAAATACATTACTGAAAGATGTCAGGGTCAATCTACGCTGGAAGAGAAATCAGATGAACCTTAGACATAAGGAAGAGCTACCAAATTTGAGTCTGGTGCCAAAGAAGCCATGAATGCTCTTTCCTGTGGCATTTCAGCACTGAAGACATATTCTTCTGTCAAAGCTGGATAAGGGGCAACCTTCCCCACATCAAGGGAGGGAGCTTCTTCTCCAGGGGCCTACCTGCTAGACAGACTCTGCCTGGGCCAGGCTGGTTCTCCCAAGGGCCCTCCTCATGGCCCCCTTCATTTCCTTGTTGCGGAAACTGTAGATGATGGGGTTGCACATAGGAATGATGATGCTATAAAGGAGAGACAAAGGCTTGTCTTTGTCAGGCCCATGTGTGCTGCGAGGATTCATGTATGAGAACATAGCTGAGGAATATAAAAAGATGACCACAGTCAGGTGGGAGGTACAAGTGGAGAGGGTCTTTCTCCGACCTGAGGAGGAGGGTCTGCTGAGGATGGAGGCCAGGATGTGGACATAGGAGATGACAATGAGCACTGTGGGGCTGAGCAGTACCACAATGGCATCTGCAAATATTAACTTCATGCTGAACTGGGTGTCCCCAGAAGAGAGGGCAATCACTATGGGGGCCTCACAGAAGAAGTTTTCAATGTGGTTGTCTCTGTTGAAAGGATTCCGGAATGAAATATACTCAAGAAAGATGCCATTGATGAGCCCAAAAGTCCAGGAAGTACCCACCAGACAGACACAGACCTGCCGGCTCATGATCTGAGCATAGTTAAGTGGGTGGCAGATAGCAACATAACGATCATAGCCCATAAAAGCCAAGAGGATGCACTCAGCTACACCCATGAAAAAGATCAAGTACATCTGTGTCATGCAAGAGACAAAAGAGACAGTATGGTTTTTGATCATCAGGTGGGCCAACATCTGTGGTATGATGGTGGTGATGAAGCAGACATCCAGGAAAGACAGGTGGCCAAGGAAGAAGTACATGGGGCTGTTGAGTCTGGAGTCTGTCCATGTGATGAAGATGATGAGGCCATTCATGGCCATGGCGAGGCTGTAGAGGGCTAGGAAGAGGGTGAAGAGAAATGCCTGAATGGAAGGGGAGCTCTTCTCAAAGCCCACAAGGATGAACTCTGTCACTGTGTTACTGTTTCTTAGGTCTACCATCTGGGTTTTGCTTAAGAGAAAGGACAGGAAAAGCATAAGAGATAGTTGTATGGTAACATAAGGTACTTACTTGGGCTCAGAAACCAACTATAAAAAAGTTGAGTGAATGAGTGGTGGTCAACATTTTGGGACTTAATAAGCTCTAGTAAGTTAGATTTGTAATGTGAAAATGCCAAGGTTTACTACAAGTTTTACAAATTGAGTCATAATATTAAAAATTAAGGAAGCGATGCTTACACTTTACTATAAGCCTGTTTTATTCGCAGACTTTTTAGACATATTTGACCAATCATGCTAAAAAGAAATAAATTAAAAAAGCATAAAAGAAATTTCAAAAACAAAGATTTAAAGTTTCCATGCACATATTTCACAGCTTAGTTGATATGGAGAAGCTCTCAAGTCATTCTGCATTACCATCAGTGATTTTTAATCATTTGTGATCTGCTAAATATTTCCCTGTTCTTAATTTAGTGAAGGTTCTCCCCAGTAGAAAATAGTGTCCTAAAATCAAGGTAAAAGTGACTGTGCTTAACTTATGTGATCAAGTGAAAATGTGATTTGTTGGAAGATATCATATCCATAGTGGTGTTGGGTGGCATTATGGGAAAAATTAATTAAGCATACACAGTATGATTCCTGAGCATTCATGGTTTGATCTCAGTGATGGACTCTTTGGAACGACACCCCATTGGAAATCACGGACATATTGTACTCTAGTTTGATAGGGCCCCCTGTTATTTATTGCATCCACTCCAGGACCCTCAATATAAAAGGACTAGCCACTAACCAAAATGTATTCAGAGATGAAAAATAAAATATCTGTGTCTGGTATCCAACATCAAATGTGGAAAGATTTAAGGAATTGAGAAGTGGAGTGTTTGAGGGGAGAGGATAGTGGCTATTAGATTATAAATCAAACTTAGCAATTACTTGAGAGGTATTTGAAAGTATGCATTTCTAGAAGAAAGTATGTTCAGTCTGGAGTGGCTCAAGTGGTAGAACACCTGCTGAGAAAGTAGAAGGCACTCAGTTCAAATCCCAGTGCCACCAAAAAAAAAAAAAAAAAAGAAACATATGGATCGAGATTCCAAGATGGCAGCTAGAGGGAGGAAGCAGAAAGCGTGTCTTCTAAAGTAAAATCTTGGAGAGATGCTGGAGATACACCTTACAGGAAAAACCACCGAGAAGAGGCAAAGCTTTGACTCCTCCACACCCCCAGCCTGCGTGTAACATTCCCACTTCACATTAAATAGAGAAACCAGGAGGGCTCCCACGCCGCAGCCAGATGGCAGTGCCCAGATGGCTTGAGAAGATGCAGACCACAAGATGAGCTGAGCGGCCGTGGTACTCCCACAGACAACCCTGGGCCAGATCAGCATAGCCCCCTGGACAGACAGACCCCACCCAGGGAAAAAAGAGAAAAAAAAACTGAATAGTAAGCAATAACAACAAAAAAGATATGCAAAAGAGGGAGGGGCACACTGAGTGCCCAAGGGGGGGAGGGGAAACCACTCACAACAAACCAGCTGGAGAGGGCAGGAGTGGCGGCACACGCCCAGCAACCAGGAGTGGGAAAGCTTGTAAAAGTGGTGGTGGGAGGAAAACTCCACAGGAGAGGGGGGAAGACCCACTTCCCACGTGAACTGTAAATTAACATGCAGGCCTGAGAAAGCTGGTGCAGTGTCACTTCCCCCAGTGTGCTTGGAAAGGGGAAAGCTTGTAGCAGTGGTGGTCGTGCCCAGGAGAACTCTAAGTAAACAAAGCCTGTGGGGCCAGGTGAGTGTTAAGCTCACTCCTGAGATCTGCATAATTAAAGCCTCCAGCAACAGCAGGCTGACAGCAGCAGGCAGGTGAGCTGCAGCCAAAGGTAGCCATTCACAGAACTGTCTCCAGACTCTTTTTTTTTTCTCCCTATGTTTGATGAGACAACAAATGAACTACACCTGCATGCTGAAAAACTTACTGAAACTGTATTGCATTTGAACTTGGGATACTTTGTGGTGTTATTTGTTTTGGTTTTTTTGTTTGTTTGTTTTTTTCCCCTTTGATGAGATGACAGAACTACTTCTGAGTCACCATCTCCAGGATTGCAGGCTGAGGGACTAACACCAAAATTATTAAGACTGAAACTTTATTGCATTTGAACTTGGATTTTTTGTTACTTTTTACTTTTATTTATTTATTTATTTATTTATTTCTCAATCCTCTCTCTGTCTCTCTAATTCCTGTTCAGCTTACTGTTGATTAGTACACTATCTCTCCCTGTTTATATTTTTGAAATTTTTTTTGTTTGTTAGTTGTTTAAGTAATAGTTATTCAATTTTTCCTTTAATTACCATTTCATCTTTGAGTTCTGAGGTTCTGTCTTCTGTTTGTTCTCTTCTGCTGGATTGGCCTTCTGTTTTGTTTTGCAATTCTGTTTCATTCTTTTTTCTGAGGTTTTCCATATCCTGGGTCGTTTCCTCTTTAATGTTGTCTATTTTTGTCCTGAGTTCATTTATCTCTTTATTAATCTTGTTCTCTTTTCACTTTGGTGTTTATACAGTGCTTGTATGGTTTCCTTTATTTCTTCTTGTGCTTTTTCAAATTCTCTATTTTTGTTGTCTTGGAATTTCTTGAGTGTCTCCTGTACATTTTGGTTGACCATATCCAGGTATCATCTCTATAAAATTCTCACTGAGCACTGGCATTATTTCTTCTTTTATATTATTTTTGTGGGCTTCATTGGGTTTTTTGGCATAGTTTATTTTCATTTTGTTGGAGTCTGGATCTGAGTATCTGTTTTCTTCATTTCCCTCTGGTTCCTGTACTAATTTTTTGCTGTGGGGAAACTGGTTTCCCTGTTTTTTCTGTCTTCCCGTCATTGCCCTTGGTGTTGTTATTGTCTCTGTACTGTGTGCAATTAAGTATTTTCTCTAGCTTGTAATAATTTCACTGGTGATATTTAGAATGGAAGGGTGAGAGGAGATGGAAAGCAAAATTAAAGGAAAAGGGAAAAACAAATAAACAAGTAGAAAAAAACAAAACAAAGAAACAAACAAAAAAGTTTCAAAGATATAAACAGGGAGAGACAGTGTACTAATCAACCATAAGCTGAAAAGGCATTAGAAAGACAGAGAGAGGATTGAAAATAAAAAAATAAAAAATAAAAAATAAATGAAAAAATATATAAAAATCTCCAAGCGCAAATACCATAAAGTTTCAGTCTTAATAATTTTGGTGCTCTTCCTTCAGCCTCCAATCCTGGAGATGGTGCCTCAGTTGTTGTTCTGTAGTTGTCTCATCAAAGGGGAAAAATAAAATAGAACAAAACCGCACAAAGCAAAAAGAAAAAAAAACCAACAAAGTGTCCCAAGTTCAAATGCAATACAGTTTCAGTAAGTTTTTCAGCATGCAGGTGTAGTTCGGTTGTTGTCTCATAAAGGTAGGGAGAGAGAAAAGAAAAAAAAAAGAGTCTGGAGACAGCTCTGTGAATGGCTATCTGTGGCTGTGGCTTGCCTGCTCACTACTGGTCAGCCTGTTGTTGATGGAGGCATTATTTATGCAGATCTCTGGGGTAAGCTTAACACTCCCCTGGCCCCAGATTGTTTGTTTACTCAGAGTCCTGTGTGCAAGCCACTGCTACAAGCTTTTCCCTTTCCAAGCCCACTGGGGGAGGTGACACTGCACCTGCTTTCTCAGGCCTGTATGTTTATTTACAGTTCATGTGGGAAGTGGGTCTTCCCCCTTCTCCTGTGGAGTTTTCCTCCCCACCACTCTCACAAGCTTTCCTGCTCCTGGTTGCTGGAGGGCTCCTGCCCTCTCTGGCCAGGCCTGGCTTGTTTATTTACAGTTCTGTGAAGGATTTCCCCTCCCCTCCTTTGGCACTCAGGGCGCCCCACCCTTTTTGCAACATGTCTTTATTGTTCTTATTGCTTATTACTCAGTTTCTCTTTTTTTCCCTGGGTGGGGGTCAGTCTCCCCAGGGGGCTATGCTGATCTGGCCCAGGGTTATCTGTGGGAGTACTGTGTACCGTTTAGTTCATCTTGTCTGCGTCTTCCCAAGCTGTCTGGGCACAGGCATCTGGTGGCCAGGGGGCCCTCCTGATTTCTCTATTCAACTTGAAGTGGAGATGCTCTGCGCAGGCTGGAGGTGTGGAGGGGTCAAAGTTTTGCCACTCCTCAGTGGCCTTGCCTGCAAGGTGTGTCTCCAGCATCTCTCCAAGATTTCACTTTAGGAAGCACGCTTTCTGCTTCCTCCCTCTAGCTGCCATCTTGGAATCTCTTCCCCCCATTCTGATTCTTAATCATCCCCTTTTACTACCTAAACTGCCATCCCTTCTTGCTACATAAACTTTTCACCTCATACCCTCCCATCACAACACTTACTAACTTTAGCCTTCCAGGACCACAAAGATTCATCCTTGCTCCAATAGACAGCCAAGATACTGAAACAGTAGGAATAACTGACAATCATGAGGGATCACTGTAATTTCAAGGCTGCAGTTTAACAACTATAACAGCTTTAATAGCTAAGCCTCCTTGACTTAAGTGGAACAGGGTGTAGAATCCAACACCCTGAGAATAAGAAGCAGAAGGGAGTACTATCAAACCTCTACTCCCCATATAAAGACAAGAAAACACACCAGAGCCCAATCCTGTATAATTATTCATAAAACCCCAACCACAGGGGCACAAGGGATTGGAATCCTGAACCAAAAGCAACCCCAGATGTGTAAATATCAATGCAGAAACATGAAGTAGCAAAGCAACAGCTCTCAACAATCAACTCCACCACTAAGGATCAATAGCAAAGAGGAGGAAATCTCAAATATTGAATTCCAAAAAATAATACTAAGAACAATTAATGAACTCAACGAAGAGACAGAAAAGCTAGTGTCTGAATTCAAAGAGGATATGAATAAACAACTAAAATAGCTCCAAGAGAATTCAAACAAACAGAAGAATGAAATTAAAGACTATGCAGGATATGAAAGAGGAAATCAATAAAGATATAGAAATCCTGAAAAATAATTAATCTGAAATGAATAGCTCAA